ATTCTCAAAAGGTGATTTCAGAAATACTTCCTTATTCCCTTCTATCTTTTTAGGCTGTAAATAGTTTATAAGTGGAACTGCAAAAGCAGAATGCTGCAGTTTATACACTCTCAGCAGAACTGGTGAATCCTTTCCTTTGGAAGGATTAAAAGCTGTTAGGTTGGTATTTGTGGAATGCTATCCGATTTTTCCCAGTTCATAACTCAGCTGGAAGCTGAAGTTTAACTTGATTTCCAACAACCAAATCAACATTTGAATAGAAGTCTGACTTATATATAGAGAAATAATTATATTTAATAAGCATGTGTTAAATGAGATGTTGGATGTTTTGTAGGTTAGAATACAAACAAACTCTTAAGAGAACAATAGCAGAATTGTGTGGTAACTGCCATGATCAGCAACCTCACATCTGGAACTGGGCCACTGCTCTAATTCAGAAAAAAGGTGAACTCAAAAATCAAGAGGAGCTTTTTCAGAAGCTGATATTATTTTCATTAATCTTTGCTCCTCTCTTGTTTTTAACCAGGACAAGAACAAAATACCAGCTGTGCTGCTAGAAAATACTGTCATAAAGTTTCCAGTGTGGTGTACTTGCTTACTGAATAGATTATTTTTGGTTTCCTTTTTGCATTTTAAGTGTTTAACAGTTTAAAATATTTCATTGGTGAAGTATGCACATAAGTAGGAAATACAAAAAGCCAACCTCATATAATATTAATATTCATTTACAAGAATTTTATTGCATCACATTCTATTTAAAACAAAACAAAACCAAGGGGTGCAAGTTCACTCTCCATCTTCTGGAAGAAGAGAAACAGCAGAAATAAAAGAACAAATGTTGTCTAACCCTGATACAACCTTTCTCCTCTGTAAAAACTGACCTAGATCCACAAGTAACTTAATTTCTTTAGAAGTCTTTAGTGAGGATCTTGTCAATAACTTTTGTCATGGTGTTATTAATCAAGAACATAATCTTCCCTGTTCCTCCTACATGGACTTTTTTTCTCTCCATTTGGATAATCCTATTGTAAGTGACCGGCCCTTCCCTTCACATCTCTTCCTGCCTGTTGTGGTTTAACTCAGTAGGTAGGTAAGCTCCATACAGCTGCTAACTCACTCCCTGAAAGTGGGATAGAGGAGAGAATTAGAAAGGTAAGAGTGAGAAAACTTGTGGGTTGAGATGAAAACAGTTTAACAGGTAAAGCAAAATCTGCATGCACAAACAAAGCAAAGCAAGGAGTTCATTCACCACTTCCCATGGGCAGGCAGGTGTGTAGGTTTTTCCAGGAAAGCAAGCCTCAAATAAGACACTCACAAAGCAACTTGTCTGGTGAGCAGAGGAAAAAGAAATTAAGTCTGCCTTCTGTTTTTTATCCTGTAAATACTGCTCCATCCCAACTCTAACCTCAGCTGTTCACTTTCCCCTATGGCATCATCACCGGGCATGGCCAGTCAAGGAATATTCCTAGATTGCTTTCTGATTTATAATCCCAAATCTGGTGATTGGATAGCACTTCTGTGTCAGTAAGCTTTCAAAAATGTTTGAGTGGAAATGTGCTAAGTCCTGTACGTGTAGATACAGTGCAGTGTATAGAATCAAATAATGTAGGAGGCTTAGGAGCAGATGTTGCTGCATTTAAAATGCACCCTAACATCATAAACTAAATCAAGTAAATAAAAATCTAATACAAGTAGTTTTGTTTAACTGGGGAAGAGTGTGTTTTGCAAACAAGGACCGTCTATAGATAATTATAGACAAGAAAGACAGAAGAACAGTATTTAGGTTAACATTTCCCATAAAAGCATGGAAGCATATTAACAATTTAAAGATCTTGAGAGAATTTGCCATCATGTTTTTTGTAAAGAAAGTTTGTAGAATATCCTTTTTTTCTGAGCCAAATGGAAGAACTACTGAGAAAGATTTATGTAAGTGTTTGTATGCCTTCCCATATGCCACAGTTTAACAGACACTGGCAGGAATGTTTATATCATCATTTTTCCTGCTTAAAAAAAAGAAAATTTGCTCTTTGCTAGTTTTCATATGTTCCCTAAAGATTTTCATCTTGCGAATAAAAGAGCTTAATTATTTCTATAATGGAAGGATTAGCGTTCCCAGGAGCGAATTCTTTCTGTTCAAAAATCATTGTAGGTATTGTAAAATGTGAGCAGTTCATGACCAATGCAGCTGCTTCAGAAATTACTGGAGTTTACAAAAAAAAAAACCCACAACAAAACAAACCAACAGAAAGCCAAACAACAGGAGAAAAGGAATCCTTAAAAGGAGAGGATTAAAACTAAACCTAGAGAAAACTGGTGCCATTAATGGACAGTAGCATTTGGGACAAGACCATGGAGAATAAATTACTTGCGAAAAGTGTAATACAATAGCTGATACCTAAACAACCTTTAATGTTTCTGTGGGTTTTCCCTATACTATTGCAAGAGAGTTTATTGGGTATTGCATAACAGCTGCCAAGAGAATTTCTCTCTACTGCAGCTAAAGAGCATTGAACGCTTTTATACATACATCATATTTTATTGCATATTGGCAAATGAATTTGGGTTTTTCTCTTATCGTTTACATCAGTGTAACTACTGGCTGCAGACAGTTCATGCTTCACACCTCTGACTGGTGATTCAGCATCTAGTTCAGCAACAGCAATTTACCTACCTAATGAATGTGACATCAGAACAGTGCATCCAGTTATCTGGTTCCCCTAATAGGTTGGTGCTCATTTTAAACAGAAAACATGTCAGATTCAATTTAATGAAGACAGGAATTGTGGAGGTCCATTTTGGAGTGAAGTTCCATTGGACCGATGGAACTGCTTGTCCGTCTGTTCCTGTCTGACTATAGGGCTTTGCCCTCCAAAAGATGCAACAGCAGGCTGACAGGACAAAGCATTTAGAGTGGGGACTGCAAAGCCTTCCTTTCTTTTCCTTTACTTGACACTTGCATTTTCTGGGGACTTCATGAGTTCCCAGCACAATTTAAACTTGGCATGGTAAAGGAGACCCTAAAAATCATCATTCTTTTTCTTGCCTTTTAGGAAGTAGCATCAAATCACCCTTTAAAAATAAGTCTCTGTTTATGATTCAGTGCAGTACTGCAGCCCAAGGGCCAGCCTAGAAAAGCTGCTGTAAATCAATCAAAGCAGGGAGATAACAACGCTATTAAGACCTATCTTTTTAATACATAAATTTGTAAAAGAGAAATCAGTGTCTCCGACTGAGTACTGTCATCCCAACCTATTTTTGAGAACTCTTTTCTGTGACTCACTGTAGTCTTTGATCAATTTTCATCGCTGTTCAGTCAACAACTGCATCTTTACTTATCTATTTGAGGTTTTTTAGGTATATTTATAATTAAAGTGAATCCTGCCTGCTGTATAAGTAGACTGCTGTCTTGCCATTGTGGAAGCAGTACTCTGAAATGCTGAATCTTGGCCGTCGTATGCAATTATAAAACTATACTTAAAGGGGTGGTTTATGTTATATATAATCCCGTTTAAATTTGAGTGATACCAAAAGATGCGGTCCTATCACTGATCCATCTTGTCCTTCTTTTTTCTCCTTTACATTGTATTTAGCAGTTGAACCCTTCTTGAAACAATTAAAAACTGATGTAACAAGCCTCTCCTCAAATACTAGTTTTCCACCAGTATAGCAAACTCAACTGAGTTGGTCTTTGCCAGCAAATCTAATGCAGTTCAAATGGCAGTGGGAAAACAAAGTGGAAGTTTCCAGTTACTTTAGTTTATATACACTGTGAAGTCATGCTCTAAATTAGTAGATTGTTAATAGGCTTCTGACTCCCACTTAGTGTATGTTTTAGACTATTTTATTTGAAAGGTAGAATGCCATTATAATATCTCAGCTGAGTCTTTGTTATTGAAACTTTAACCTTTCTCGAAACCTTGGTAGTATGCTGCTTTTCCGTAAAGTATTATTGCTGGCATTAGAAGCAATTTCTGATTTATTATTATGTGTCAGTTTAATTAACATGCTGTTTCACTCCCTAGTCCAGATTGTTAATGAAGACGTTAAATAAACAGGACCAAACAGTGATCCCTGCAGAGCTCCACCAGACACCTCCCACCAACTTGATACATTGCCATTTTTCATTACCCTTTATTTGCACTCAGCCAGCCATTTTTAAATCCAAGTGACAGTACTCCATGTCCAAGCCAATTTGAATTAATTTTGCAAGTAGAGATTTTGTAAGACACTACATCAAGTGTTTTACTCAGACCAGATATATTACACATGCTTTCATCCACTAATTTTCTAAAGCTATCAGAAAAAGCAATCAAGCTTTGAAGATTACTGGTGCACCCAGCCAGCTTTTTGCTGGTTTATTCACTTACAAAATGAATCCTGGCATTATTAAAGAACTGCCACTTCTTTAGCTGATGACTGATTTAAAACAATGCATCTTTCTAATCCATTACCTTACGAAAATAACACGTACCCCCTGATTATTCCTCCTAACTTTTACTTTAGGGCTACGTGGCATATGGTTTGATTGACAGACAGATCGTTTTCTTCAAAAGGATCTGTGATTTCACTAGCTCAGCTGATGTTTATTGTACATGTTTCCAGCTGTTAGCTTGTATCAGCAGTTGTTCGTTACTCTCAGTGTGAAAGTAGGTCCTATGACACCTCTTTGATTGCATCAGTGAAGCAACAGCAGACTGGTGGTACAAAATGCAGTGTAGTGAGACTAGTTCTTGCCAAACCAGATTTATTTCTTACTGCAGGAGGAACATGCCAGTCACAATAAACTTTCCCTATTTAATATATTCCTTCCCCGTGTTTTATTACTTGTTCAAGTTATGAATTGTTGTGCTGTAGACCTCTAGTCAGAGTTCAGCTTTTTCTCTTTTGTCATGTCCATTCCTTATTCTTCTGGCTCCCTAAGTCTGGCTCCATTTGTTTAATACCCATCCCCTTCCTAACAGCCTTTTGTTGTGGTAGTGAAGTACTGTGTGTGTTTTCCAGATGTGGAAACTTGATGACTTGCTTTGTGTTGCATGAAGACTCTTGAGTGAAAGTGGGAAGGGTTCAGGTATGTTGATGTTTTTCCTCCTAAAGCCTAGCAGTATACTGGCTACTAAGCTGTTCTTTTACAGATTCCCCTACTAAAACATTGTTCTTCCAAATACAGGTGCAGTACCTGGGGCTCAGTTCTGCCTCTGCTTTCCTTATGGTGGTTTGATTAGAATGGGTCCAGAAAGTTTACTGCTATGTTTGTCACCATTTTTCATACTCTAAGTCAGTGTGTTCAGTTACAATCCTAAACTCATACAATATATATATTGCTTACTGAATGTGTTTTTTCTTTATTTACATAGTGGTAATTTTGATAAATATAATTATCCCGAATTAAAGTCTTTCAGTTCATAGTAGAATGATTATTACATCAGAATAGCCAGTGCCTAACTTCTTTGCATGTATGCATGAAGGCAAAAAATACATTTTCTTCCCAATGTTAAGAGAAACAAAGGTCATAGCTCCCCAAAAGTCTACTTTCAGAAAGAATAATGCATAAAATACAGCATAGTTCACTTAATGAGGATGAAATATGTAGATGAGTGAAAAGTGTCTCATTGTCAGCTTTGATTTCCCAGTGGAGAGAATGTAAAATAACACAATAATTTAAAATATCTTTAAAAAAAATCCAATTAAGACATAAGCAGTGTTGTATAATCCTGTTTTGAGCTGGATATAAAGAAAAGAGGCACAATTTTTCTCCGCTCAGCCTCTTTAAAATCTCTTGCATTGGATGCTTCTGTGCTCGTTGTGGAAAGCTGGGTGCACATTTTGGGCTCTTGCCTTGATATTTAAATGAGGTTGCACTTGCTGGAAGATGCTGTTTCACAGAAATACTTCTGTGGTAGTGCTTCCATGGCTGTGCAGCGAAACTGTCAAAGAGCAGAGCTTTGTTGTAATCACTGTCTGTAATCCTTAAAAACACAGGAACTGCCGATTAACTCAATATGATAAGAAATAGCTGGTGTCTACAGAAAACTGCCTGGAGCAAAAAGTCTCCTTTCCACTTACTGACCTTCTAGAGTCGAATGGGTCAAGTGTTTATTCCTGGTTTTCCCCCTTCAAGCTCAGACTTAAGGGCACAGCTCTTCAAATTGCCACAGGAAAGTGAAGACTTTCCTTTGATATGCATCACATTGAGGGCAAAATCAGGATAATTGAGACCTCACTGACCCCACCTTTGTGTGACTCCTATCCCCCCCTTCTGCTCCATGGTAAAACAGAAACCCCTACCTTAAGAGATGTGGAAGCACTCCTGCCCTCGGCGGTGAAGCTGAAGGATGGTTTCTTCCTGCGGCCGGCTGCTTTGACCTGTCAGCACTGAGTGTCAGAGCAGCGGTGGCCCTGCTCGCTGCCATGGGCTGATTGAAGCTTCTGGAAGATGGTGCCTGCAGGCAGAGAAAGGGCAGGGCTCCCTGCTATATATAAAAGGGGGCAGCAGGGACCAGCCTCATAGTGGGAAGGTTTTATGGCACAGCAACTACTGAAAGCTGTTGGGTGGGGGAAGGCTGGAGGCCCTGGGGCAGGCAGAGGGGTAGAGCTCAGTGTCTGCTCAGCTCCTGTACATCTATTTCATCTGGCACGTCTTTGCTTCATTCATTGGGCCACCCTGGTTGAATGTCCTTACCAATAAATTATCACCTGTGAGAATCAACGCCCCTTTGGTGTCTGTGGTGGGCACTGCACCCACAGTGTTATCCCAAGTGCACTGCTCAGTGATACAGTGCGTGGGCATCAGTGCACCCTGATCCTGCACTGCCAATTCACAGGCATGTTAAAAATTTAAGCTAGAGCCTTTTTGCATGTAAACTTCCCCATTTGCAAGCCGGAGAAAATAACTTCCCCTTGTGCATATGTTGCCAGTGTGCCTTCAACAGTTTGTGAAGTGAGGGCTTTGTCTGAGCAGCAGCAAGCGGTAAAGGTGCTAATGAGAGGAGCAACCGTACATGCTAAGCATGAACCATATCTCAGCTTGAATATTGGCAGGAAGAGGACATCAGGTTACCCGACTCCTAGCCTTAACTTCAGCCCACCACTGGCTGAAATAGATTGCAATGATCCTGGTTGCGGTGCCAGGCTGAGTTTGGGTGGGTTGTTTTTTTGTTTCTAACACCTTCCTCAAAGAAACATGTATTTTTTTCAGTTTTGGGTTGAAGGCTGTGGCAAAGTATTTCATCTCCTCAAGTGCTGTGGAAGGCGTTAAACCCAACAGCCTCGATAAGGCCAAATATTACCACCAGCTTTTACTCCCTAGAACTTTGGGTGATAAGAAGGTGAGACAGGACTCAGCACACTGGGCATGGCCTTAAAGTAGCAGTGGAGTCTGTCATGGGCAGCATGTCTGTGTTTCATCTTATTGTCTGGGGCTAATCCTGCAAGCATGCAGGGCATATACGTTTAACTGTATCTCAGTTGAACACCAGTGTGTCACATTGTAGTGTTTGGGCAGTAGAATCTGAATTGCACGTTTACACTCATCTTCAGCAATGTTTTTTCTAGTATAAGGTTATGCTGTCATTTGTCTTCCACGACTCCCTTTTACTTTCTGTAGTGCTTTGCAGAGCTTTTTCTTAACACAGTGTTAGTGACAGATACAGAATAGGCAAGTCTAAAGGACAAAGATAAAAAAAGAACATTGATGTTGCTGCAGCAGCGGCAGAGAAGTCACGAGCATCATCTATTTAGAACATTCATATTTTTATAGCATATTGTTCAAATGAAGTTCTGCTCTTTAGAAAGGATTTATTGTGTCTGAGTGGACAGGTGCAGATTTACCCTGGGCTCAGAGGACTAAAATGTGTTTTGCTTCTGTGCATTCACATGCCTTGGTTTGTATCTCAATTAATTATCTACCTCATAGGTAGAATCGCAGACTGCTTGGGGTTGGAAGGAACCTTAAAGCCCCACTTCCAACCCTCTGCCATGGGCAGGGACACATTCCACTAGTGCAGCTTGCTCCAAGCCCCTGTGTCCAACCTGGCCTTGAGCACTGCCAGGGATGGGGCAGCCACAGCTTCTCTGGGCACCCTGTGCCAGTGCCTCAGCACCCTTGTTAGCTCCTTCTGAGGCACTCACATTATTAACAGGCAACAAGTACTGAACACTTCAGAGGTTATTTTTCTTCTTAAAACTGTAATGGAGGCTTTGGAAACAGCCTAATCTTCAACAATGTGTTGCAGCTTGCACTTGAAGCAGAAACAAAAATGCCCATTTCAGCCTGTAATTGAATTTAATCTCCAAATTTTTATACACTAACCCCTGAGAGGTTAACTGAGTTTTCGGTTCTCCAGGCAGAGCAGTTGAAAATGTTTACTGGAGTTTTGCTCATTTTTTCTTGTGCTTCGTGGATTTTCTGAAGTAGTTAGTCCAGCCCAGTACGAAGCTTTGAACAGCTTCCTGGCATCTGAGAAACAGAAAACCTATAAACATTCAGTACTAAATGCACAAGTGTCTTTCTCTGTATTCATCTGAATCTAGTGGTTTTAAAAGATTACTCATAGTCATTCAGGTCCAACAGTGGATGTTGTTCTCTCGTGTTGCTAGAGACACCATTGTGACCAGAAATTAACCCAAAACTGTCCCTGCCCCTCTTTAAAAAAAAAGATACAAGTATTTCTTTATGCTCTCGTCTTATGTATGATCAGTGCAAACCTTAGGGGCTGGGTAAGGCATCGTGTGATATTTTAAATGAGAAAACAAGGTGTTCTGGTGGGATATAGAGATGGTGGGAATATAAAACTGGATATGGTGAACACTGGGGGGCGTGAGCTGTGGATTTTTTGAGGACGCAGATGTATTAGTAGATAATACCTTAGGAAGGGGCATTTCTGTTTGCAACTCTTTAAAGGAATCAGGATTATGATGTTTTAAAACAAGAAATAACTTCAAGCATTAGTGTTTGATCATTAGTGTTCAACTTGTGCAGATTTGTGTGTAACTTTTAGAATTTACAGTAGTTGTTTCATCTGTTAGAGCTGGCTAGAAACTTGATGTGAAAACTTCAGCAAAACACACCTCCAGCCAGACTGTAACTCTCACATGTTTATCCACTTTCAGGAGCTGGAATTGCCTGGAAAAGATAAAAAAATATAAAACAGACAAAAAAATCCTAAAAACTGCCCTCAGTGGCTAAATATTCATCAGTCTTTAGGTATTCAACCCATGGCACTTTTTGGTAAGTGAAAGGATGATGAAACTGAGTTTCTGCTCTGCCAGTTCTGTCTAGTGGGGTGAGATACCTATTTTCACTTACATTTTGTATGCATTTGCTAACTGCTCTAGAGATGGCTAAATGCTTAAAATAGGTCAGCATAGGGCAATCAAGGAGCATTTGGCTTGAAAGAATAAGTTTGTGTATCCCTTTCGTTCATTATGGTGGTCATTTGGAACAGGTTCATTTTCTGCCTCTGGAGCACTTCACAGCACTCTCAAGTCTTCTGTCCAGAGTTGTTGGAGTGACACTGCTAGGCTGTAAAAATGAATGTTATTCACAACTTTAATGAGAGGAAGTAATGCCTATTAATTAAAATCAAACTTGACATAAGCCTAGATTCCATGCACCTTACCATAGATGTTCTGCAGTTCTCGTCATAGAAACTTGTGTTTCATTGAGTTTTCCATGTGTTTTAGAAATGAAATGTTGAATTAGTGAGCTTCTTCCTCCCCTCCGATTTCCAAAGGCAAAGAAAAAACTGTTCCTGTTGGCAAGAATGTTCTGCTGTGCTAAAATATGTTTGTGCTATGTTAGCCTTTATGTATTTTTCATACTTTTATTTCTAACAAAACTGGTTGCTTATCCAAAATCTTATGGTAACTTTTAGACTACAGTCTATTTCCAGTGTCCTTATAGAAGACAAGCACTGTCATTATGTTCCCAAAGGGATATACCAGTAAACCTGAAGCCTGGGGAATAAAATTGGAAGATTATTGTTTCTTGTCATATATTTCTGTTTTATGGCTTTGACTACACTGGAATGGCTTAGCTGGAAGAGAAAGCACTGGCAGTGAGGGGAAGTAACTATTAAGGTCCTATCAGAGCTTGATGGAGCTTGATATAATTAAAAAACTTGTGATATCTCCAGCAATTGTAATTGCAATTATTTGCTAGCTGAAGGCAACTTTCAGTGCTCCAAGTTAGGAAATCATGTAAATAGCCTAATTAATATAATTTGCCTTATGCTCTACTAAGAAAACAAAACCAAATATGTCATTTTTTTAAGAATAAATAACATGGTATAAACTAAATATTATAAATATTCAATCCATTTGTAAAGCAAACATTACATCTTATGAGTCATTCTCAGCATTTCTAAGTAATTCAGCATGATTTAATGAAATTATGATGGCTTGCTTTAGCTTTACAACTGCACGACAATAAAAGGAAAGCATTCCTTTGTGTGGATTAGAGCTAGTTCTTTTACAAAACAGTGTGTAACAATATGTACAGCAGGGGGGCAGACGATATAAAGAAGGTTTCATCATCTTGTATCTTCAGTCCTTTAATATCAAGAGACTTCCACAAAACTTAAAATAAGTCTTTGAAATGTTCCGTGCTGTGGTGGTAGAAAGGTACAATAAATAATACTTCTCTTTTTCCTCATGTGGAATGAAGAGATAAAGCTATTTATAAAACTGTAAAGATGTACAAGGCATTCTAACAGGTTGTCATATGTTAATGTCAGTGAGAATTTAATCACCCAAGGTAAAAAATCTATATATATTTTTTTCTACAGCCCTGTCTTGTTTTCATAACTCTTTTTATTGACAGATTCTCTCATGATGATAAATTAATGTCCAAGACCACAAAATGTAAACCCAGAAAAATACAGGGACTGAAGCAGCAGATTGTTTTGTGGTAGTTTTATTCTTTGTTGTTGTAGCGTTTACAGGACCTAACGAGGAGACATTGTGTTCAGGACTGTACACGTGCTGAACAAGACAATAAAGAGATAACAAATAGATGCATTGTGAGGACTCGGATTTATATAGTAAACGACAAGACTTTCTGAGGAAAGTCTGGGGGATTTTTGAGAGTTGTTGATTCAGGAATAAGGAAATATGCTTAGAAGCAAAACAGCTTTATTCTTCAATTTATTAATAAAAATGGTTACGACAGCTGCTTACACAAAAAGCTGTTTGGCGTCAGTTCTAATTTGCCTGCTGGGATTGGAGTAGAATGGATTTTTTGGCTCGTGGCCACTTTCACTCCTGTTAAAATGAGACACTTCTATATGCTTTCCAGGTGATCACATAGTGAATTGGACTTTATCTTTCTGTATGTGCCCGAACCAAAGAGGAGTTTTAGAGGAATATAAAGATATACAAGCTTTTTATATTTGTCAGGTGATTTTATCTTTGTCTATACGTCTCAGTAAATCCAGGCTTGATCAGTTTTTTGTCCAGAGGAAGATAGACATGCAGCATTATTTGGTAGCCTGTATCCTACATTCAAATTTAAGTGAAGAAGGCTTATGCCATGCTTGCCAGGCTTTGTTTTGTTATGATAACTATTAGGAAAATGAATCTTAAAAAGCATCCTCTTGTCTTGTTTCATGCTACCTGTTGGTTGAACTTACGGCTTTAGTTGTCTTCTTCCTAGCGTTAGAGCTATACACAAACTTAAAATGTAGAACTTGGCTCACTTTATTTCCCTTGATTCTGTAAAGCCCTTCTATGAATCAGTGCTAGCATTGTCAGACAGATTGCCATCGCAGAAACCTCATGTCCTGATACATGACAGAGCGTGATGCATCCTTAGATCCGTCTGTCAGCCAGGGTGCTGTGTTCTGCCTCACAGTCCAGTGATGTGGGAAGCAGAAGGTGTAAAGTTGCCTTTCTGTTCTTAGATGGGGCCTGCTGCACTTGAAGGGGAGGGAGAGAATAAAACCACATTTTACATACAAGCTAAGCACATTTGATCTAGAAGCTTTTCTTTTGTGCTAAGTACATTCATCTCTCTGTCTGGGTTTTCAGAATATGCTCTCCATTTCTCTGACTTTCACTATATCAGGGTTATTTCCAAGCATAGATGTTTAAATGAGGTACTTTACCTATTAGAAATGCAGAAATTGCTTTATATTGCTTGACTCCCCAATGAAAGGTTAGTTGCCTAATCACATGGGTTTGGTGGCTATGGTACAGTGCAGAGTGTTAAGGCTATAATAGGAAATCAAATAGTTCTTTTCACAGCCATCAAATACATGCTGAGCTGCTTGACTGGTTTATGCTGCTTTATCTTTTTAGGACATAAAACCTCTTCTTACTTTATGAAAACAGTACTTTGTGTTAGATAATCATTTCATTTACATATAAAGGTTACACTTAATAAAAATATATGAACCAAAATTGCAACAGAGATACAACATCATAAACCACCTTTTTAGAGTGTGCTGTTTTTTTCCTTTGAAAGGCTTCATTGCTTTTAAGACAGGAGATACTGCTTCAGAACTAAAGATTTAAAGCTTTTTTCTTCTGCCTGTAGTAAAAGTAATAAAGCTTTTTATTGTACAAAGACTGTAAATATATTTAGCAGTAATTTCAACAGCTGGAAGTGTCTGGATGGCTGTAGTGGAAATACAAGGGTCATATTTACCTAGGCTTGGCCTAGAAATTTCTATAACCTTTTTTCTTTCCATGTACCCAGCACTGAACAGTGATTGTTTGTTATCTTGTAAACGCTGGAAGACAATCTCTTGGAGGAAATGACTCCTTGCTGTTAGAAATAAGATAGCGCTGTAACAAGTTTGTTTTGATTCTTTTGTGTTGCCCTTATTTGTTATGATTGTTTACTGCAAATAGGTATCATTCCTAATGTCTGGAGCCCTGCACCCAAACCTGTGGTTGCTCCTCCAAGGCTCAACCGCAGTATAGCATGATGATAAAGAACTTTAGTCCCCAGGAGGAACATGCCAAAAGAAATCTGCCAGCTTAAATTCGTGAAACTTCTTTAGGGAATCCTTGGCAAGGATAATAAACAAGAAGGGTAATGATATGGCTTGAAGAGTTGACTTTGAGAGAGTCATGAAGGACTCTGAATAGGCCAAATATCTTCCCATAGCTTTGTAGTTTCTGCTTTGTGAGTAGAATGATCTTTATTGCAATATTTGTTATTCCAAATGTATGAAATACTTTGGGTTTGGTAGAAGAGCAGATTTAGGATAAAAAGTTCATTCCTTCTAGAAACAGAGAAATTTGAGAAATCAACTTCTGTCTATTTTCATTCCTTCTAACAGCTCACTGCCTTTCTCAGCAAATATCTCAGCATTGTCAGTGTTTCATTCCTAAATCAATATTAATATATTTCCATTGTTTCGGGTTTATCTTGTACCCTTGTTGCGCTAAGATTACAAGCATTCTCAGGTCCTAAATCTTATTATCCTCTGAGGAACATATGCAGAGAGACAAAGGTACTCTGGAAGCGGTGAAGTAGTGTGTATTTTAACTCCACTCTAAAAACAATTATTCTTCTATGTTTGTCTGATGTGAAGAATAAGCAATTATTGCATGGTTATAATCGTGACATAGGAACAAATGCAGGCACAGACGCTCATTGCTTATGGAGAAAACCATGATCAAGAATAAGTTTTTGATGAGTACTGTTAGAATGTCTGTTATAGTTCCACAGTGGGCTGGATTTGGAGGGTAAAGATTTTAACAGCTTACAAGAAAAGAAGAAAAAAAAAATGCAAAATATTGGTTAGTTATTCTGAAGTTGTTCATTTGTTTGCTGGGTTTTTTCCACAGCTGCACCTGAGTCTGTCAAACATCCAGGTTTTTCTAGACATAGTCTCTTACCATAGCATTTAGGATGTTGATATTCCTCGTGATGTCCTGGTGAGCTTTAGAACTTCAGAAATATCAAGGAAATGACTGCTGTGCACAAAAAGCTACGGTACAGCTCCTGTACAATGAGTCCAATGAATCTGGGCTGATGAACCTACTGCATGTGAATTTCTGCAGATAGCAAACTGAGGTCAGTGAGATTGACACGTCAATATCAGTCTACCAGTGGAAACCAGAAGTGGTTGGATGAATAGTTATCCGTGTCAGTGCTGTGCCTTGGAAGTGTCATAAAATCCAACTTTATAAAAGGGAAACATGCTGACTAGAGCACAGATTTGGGTGACCTTTGGGTCATGTATCATACTTACACAGTATTGGGTGACCTCATGTGAA